TCTAAGTTACAGGCTGACTTCAGGTCTGGTTTAGATCATTGTTACTCATAAATGATATATTTTTCTGGTATAAATCTGCTGTTTTACATGATTGTTGAATAAAATTAACATAGTTATTAATTTATTGTAAAAACATGACCGATAATGTGTGAAACAGATCCAGTTCAGCTTGTTGTTTATCTATTAATTTCTATGTTTGCTGTGAGCTGTTGTCCTGTTTGGTCTGTTTCTGCTCCTCCATGCTGTCACAGACACTACCAGTGGACAGGATGGGCGGGGCTCAGTCTAGTGATCTACATATTTAAGTCTTTGGTTCCGACACAGAAACTAGAATATTTGGGTCTCCAAATAGACACTGTGTCTTTCTGAATTTTCTTGATGGAGGAGAGTGAAAAACTTCACCTCACTCTGTTCCACAGAGGAAACTGGGTCTTGTTAAGAGCCTGCTGGTCTCAGTAATCTCACAGGACAAAAGAGCTGTCAGACTTTATGGAAAAGAAAAAGAAACTTTCAGATTAGCAGACTGGTGATAGCAGACTAAATGAAGAAAGTAGATAATTGGCTCCACCTAGTGGCATGTTGTGTTGTATTCTGACATTTGTTTCATTTATTCATTTAGTTCTACGTATCGTATGTGATTTACTAATAATGAAGTTCTCCTCTGACATCACAGCAAACCCCTGAGGCAAACATCCAGGTCTAAAACACACTGATGAGTAAATATTACTAACTGTTCTAAATCTGCCTGGCTCTATTTCTCAAGTGTGCTCCTGAAGAGTAAATCACTAATGTGGGACAGCTGCCAGTGTGGGTACAAAACAACTCTGTGCAACAAAATAACGTGCACAGTCAAGAATGCAATTTTTAAGCCGTGCACACAAAACACTTTTAACCAATGGACACACAGAGGCACTGCTTCAAGGTCACTTGGATACAAGGTTCATTGACACTGCAGCTAACATGTCTTTTCTCACATATTTCCCACAGTTTTGAGGGTATTTTATTTCTTTTTTTTTTTTTGCAACTAGTCACTGAAGTTGGGTAATATTGGCAAAAAAAAAACAAAACGTTACAATTAGTTGTGGTATTAACCACTAATAATTAATATGATCATTATTCCCCTGGAGTCCCTGGACATCTGCATGTCCTAGTCACATGACCAATTTAAATCACTCTAGTTGGAAAAAATTGCTCTCTGTGAAAATCTGTTCCGAATTGTCTCAAAAGTAGAGACTTCAGGCTTTACATCAATGTTTAAATTGTGTTGATAGACCAAGTACAACTAGAGTTAAGATAAATAAATCATAGAAGTTTTTTTTTATGTTCGTTATATTTGAAGCAGAGAGGATTTCCAAGCGGACTACCTGGGAAATCTCCAGTCAGTCTGCCTGGCAGCATTAATTATATTAATCGTAAAGTGCCAAAACAATAATCGATAAAATCTTTTCTGACAATTAATTTCACACGATATGATTTTGCCCAGCCCTACTCTGAACTATAGCATCTCAGTGAGATATCACATTCAGTATCTCCTGCTTGTACAAACTAACCAGGAGAAACTGTTTGAAATATTAAAGAAATGATCAGTAACTACGGACATAAAATATATCAACATTAACCTCGGTATTGGTCCGATAAGTAAAACTGGGCCGATATTAACGTCTGATATTGATTTCCAGCTTGTTGCTGTTTTTGTTTTTTTAGGGAGGGGAAATGGTTGGTTGTGTGGTTTCTGTTTGATCATGATAGTGTTAGTGATGCTGCGCAGCCTGGAATCACTGAAGTAGAGCCATGTCAGCGGTCTGGTTATTTATTTACAGTATCAAAAAAGTACAAGTATGTTTGTGTATTATATGTAGGGATGCAACAATACATGTATCCATATCGAACTGTTCAATTCAGAGCTTTAGGTTGAATACACACTTGTTTCAAACAATACAGATTTATAAAATTTATTTTATCAACTTGTCTTCTGAAGATGCTCTGTGTTGAAGGATCAGTGGATCTGTGTTCGACTACTCCACCTAGGCTGCATTGTTGAGCACAAATCCACCAAGAAACTTGCTGTTTCAGCAACATTTAATTTAAAAACTGTACTTTTGAGGTTAAACAAATGTTCATAGTTAATTTTTAAAAGTTACAAGTTAAGAGGGGCATGGAAATTTCTCTTTTTTGTATCGAAAAAATATTGAACTGTGAGACTAAAGTATCGAACCGAACCGAATCGTGAATTTTCTGTATCGTTGCACCCCTAGTGTATAAGTAATTTGTGTCTGTATAATACTGGTAAAAAATTAGTTATCGGCCATAAAAGCAATAATAGTCTCAGATATTGGCTTAAATTTTCATATCGGTGCATCCCTACCAGTAACGGTCCTAAAACAAAACCGTGAAGTCCTTGTTTTAAAGAGAGTGACAGCAGTGGTCAGACGTGTCTGGAAGGTGAAGTGAAGAGGGTCAGTGTGCGGAGGCAGAGAGGAGTAAAAACAATACTTACCTCCTGGCTGCATCAAAGTTGCTCTTAACAAAGTCATTAAAAGGCCTCATATGTTCTTCCTTTGTAAACAGGACGTGGTTGGCAATACTCTGCAGAATCTAAAAGAAAAAAAAATAATTTGTTTTCAGGATTTATTATAGAGGTATGTGATCAGTGTTCCAGTCAAATGCTCCTAAAAGTACTACAGCGTCAGCTACGATGAGCTCATCTGAAGTACGGTCACACTACAATCTGTCCTCATTTACCCGTTCACACAGCACTCTATCAGATCTCCTACAAAGCTAACATGTATAATCAACTATAAAGACTAATCAGTGCCAATCACATTCATACACTGATGGGACACACATCAGAGGCATTGAGGTGAAGCATCTTGCCCAAGGACACAACAACTGAGACAGCTGGAACGGAGGATCAAACCGGTGACCTTCCGGTTCCAGGACGACTCCCCTAACCACTCTGCCACAGCTGTTAGCTCTTCAGTGATCATATCTGTGATTTCAGCTGGAGTGGGCAGGTCCGAGTCACCTGTTGTGCCATGTCGTGTGGCTTTGCAGGCCTTGAAGCGCTTATGTCACCTCTGTGTTTATATTTTTGGAGCTTTTTCATGATTTGATTCAGTGTTAGAAGAGCAGTTCAACCACAAATCAGTGTTTGTCCTTTGTAACCACTTAGCTACGTTCAGGAAATATATTTCAGTTTTTGTAAGAAAAATACTTGAGGTTCTGCAGCAGCTCTATAGAGCATGTCTTAGATCAGATCTGAATAAAGTGAGATACTATTTTTACTAACCACAGATCAGGATAGAGTGAGTCAGATAATAAAAACAAAGAGCAGCTTTACCTTGGACATGAGTTTGAGGCCACGCTCTATTCTGGGAAGGGGCTTCTTTTCCAGGATGCCGGCCTCGTAAGGAGACACAATGGCTGGGTTAACAAAGCGTAGGAACATGGCACTCCCCACAGCACCAATGCTGTTCTGTGGGAACCGCTGACTCACCACCTGTAAGAAAGATAATGGAAGGGGGGGACAACAAAGGGAAAAATAAAGGGGGAACATGGAACAAATAAAAAGAGGAAAGGTGTGAAAAGATGACCATATTCAAACGGGATACAACATACTGCAAGTGATTTCAGCACACAGCAGAGAAAGGGAAGGAATGATCAGAACAACAAAACATGATATGTGAAACAGAGCAAAGTGAGCTGAGCCATGGGCAGTGTAAGATGGAAAGAACAGAAAAAGAAGTGTGGAGAGAAAAAACAAAGTCTATTGCAAAGAATCCCAGTTTATTCTGAACTCCAGCAACAATAGGAGCTCTTACTAAAGTTACAACCCAAAAAGAAGTAAGAGGAAAAGCAAGACAAGAACCCAATCATCACCTCTCTGTTGGTCAAAGACAAAAACTGGAGGTTATAATGAGAAATAAAAAGGAGTGTGGTTTGTGGTGGAATGAATGGGGGCACAGCTAAGATGTAATGAGAAGTATTGCCATGATTGATGTCTGATATAATGATAAAAAGACCCGCAGCCAAAACTCTGACTCCAGTTGGACTCTGTGTACCTGCTGGGACCATACAGGACATTAGATTTGATCCCAGCAGGTTTTACTGAGGCTTCAGTGTTCTACACCTCTGAGAACAGACATACTGTATGTAAAATATCTGCAAGTCATATGATGAACAAACATGCTAGTTCAAGAAATAAAACTTTGTAAACGTGGACTTGGAACTTACCATATAGGTATTTGAGTTTAAAACTGGTCTAAATAATTTACATTTTGGTAAAAACTGGTCTTTTTTGGGCTGATCCCTTTAGAGTTTTCACAATGAATTATTTGCCTCAGACCTCCAGCTGTGCTTCATCGTTAGACCTACCATCTCCAAACGATGAAGGCTTGACTCCAGGTCCTAAAACTCCTCTACTTGAGTACCTCTGCTCCTTCCTGCGGTTATACCTGGATGCTTCTCATTCACACACATGGCTTCACTCTTGCTTTTACAGACTTGCGTCGCTACTCTCTCCAGAGCAAACCTCCACCTCTCCGGGCTCTTCCACCTACTTCCTAAATGGACTAAATTTGGTCTAAGTCAGAAAGATTTGTAGGTCTGCTGAGAAAGCCCAGCCCAGGGAATCAGACTCTTTCACAAAGTGCTTCAAGACAGGACTGACTGTGTCCATGAGACTGTGTAGTCAGCCTGCCTCTGTCAAGCCAATAGGCTGTCTAGTGAGGTCATAACAGTGTAGTAATGGTCAACATGTGAAAGGAGAAACCAGCTTCATGTCTTCATGATGTCATGAGGTGATGGCAGATGGTCTGTGTGATTTCGACTAACCAAAAAGTCCAAGGAGATGTCCAACCCATATTTTATACAATGAGCTAAACATCAGCACCACAGAGTAAAGGTAAGAACTCAGCAGGCTACGACTGTTGGAGACCCAAAATGCAACAAAAATCATACACACACAAAAACATCTGTTCCAGTAACAACGAACTCTGAGTGCTAGTGACCAATCAGCCATGTGGCCACGATTTGAAAATCCAGTTGTTGCAAATCATAGATTGTTTTCATGTGCACAGTGTGAAAAACTGCATTCTTGGTCCAGTGCAATATTTTGTTGACAACCTCCACTCACATGGTGTCCACATGAGCCATCGGAGTACACTTTTAAAATTAGGACAGGCAGGTGGTTTTTAATAATTATTGTTCATCATCAGAAAGGTTTTAGAATGGGATATTGGCCTCAGAAGTCTTCTGTCAGAGAGCTCCTTAGTACTTCTAAAAGACGACGCAGCACAATTCCATAGGGTTCAACACAGGCCGCAGATGTCTGCAACGACTGACTGAAATTGAGAATCACCACAAACGTCACAGGATATTCTGGAGACTCCCTCATAAATAATGTTCACCAACTACTCACAGCCCAGTGAGACACCAGAGGAGAGCTGCTGTCATATGACTGTAGTATAAGTAATATAAACTAATAGACTAAACTAATAGACTTCTTCGATTCCACAGTGCTGGCTTTACTATCAAATGAGTCCAACCTAGCAGTACATGGTCAGCTCAGCTGGTGACTGATAAACAGTCAGAGGCATCAGTTTACAGATTCCCCACTTCGTAAAATAATATTTTGTCAAAGGGCTGGTTACAGCACTGGTGAAACCCTGGAACTTAAGTTTTACTCCAGTAGGATGTTCCTGTAACCCACTGAGACACAGACTCTAGTGAAACTTTCGGACGGTTGTGAATGCACTGACTGATTGAAGTGTGTTCAGGGAGCCCGATCTTTCCCATAATAATATCTTTGTCATCAGCTACATTAAGTAGAGCATATGATGCCATCATGAGTCATAGATCAAAAACCACTGACGACATCCATTCACAGAAGGCTGAGAATTAGAGCTGCAGCCTTCAGATCAGCAAGAACTGACCTTAGGTGGATGTAGCAGGGGATTCAGGCCATAACTGAAAAGTAAGTAAAATGATAAGAGCAGTCACTGGCTCCTCTCCTCCAGACACGTCCTGGCAGGATGGAGACTCTGAACAGTAAACTACAGAAGAAAGCACCGTCTCTGGTAGTGAGCATGGGCTGAGATGGTCTACAGTCCACGTAAAGAGGACCTGATAACCAGACATCAGGATGAGAAATGACTGTTTTTGTAAAGACTGAGAACATTTCCTGTATGACCAAATTAATTTAGCTAAGAAAAGTGTGTGTTACTACCCATATGTCCTTTTACAGAGATGGAGAGACACTGCTCTGAAACTGAAGCTAATTCCATCAAAAGGTCTTCTGGAGGGTCATGTTGACCCAGCAGCCTGAACAAAACAAGCTCCTTGGTCAAAGAACTTCTAGGTTTATGTGTATTGTTAACATGTTATATAAGATGTTTCATGATGCCAAAGACATCAGAAAGACAAATTAAAGCTACTGTGGTACCCCACTTAGGATTTGTTGTTAAAAGACTATTCATCATTTTTATTCTGTTGTGATAAAATACCAGCTGCTGTCATCTGTGAATCTTATCTTTTATTAAAACTTGTTGAGAACTGCATGCTTGTATCCAACAAGGAAAAAAAACTTTGGTCCAAACATAATAACACAAGCACACTTCAGATTGTCTCTCTCTTGAAATAAGGTATGTTTACTCTACAGGTGGGTGGGTCAGAGTTGTGTGGGGTTAAAGTGACTTCAGGTGGGATATTGGTAACATTGAATGACGATATCAAAATTTTGATTAAGTCCCACATTTTCCTCCCTTCTTTCTCTTCCATCATTTAAACCAGGTGTGAGCATCGAGGCCAGTGAGTCTGTTAGATTGACCAAAAACATGTCAGCAACAGAAAATTGTAGTATGTGAAATATATTGATCTGTGATTTAATGAACGCAAGTAGTCCTTTGTGATTTATGATAATACACTCACATATACTGTGAGGATGATACATGTTTGCTATGTTGTGTAGTCCTACAGTAGAGCTCTAAATAACAGCAAACAAAACTGAACTAAGAATGAATGTGGACCATAAATATTATTGCATTTGTCCCAGTTGATCAGTCTTCTGATAAATATCTTAGAACACATTAGTTTATCATAACATGCAGTGTCTTGGTTCACAGATTATATGACCAACATGAGTGAAAAGGAGTGCCCCAAGGTTCAGTTTTGGGTCCAGTTTTATTTTTTATTTATATCAGTAATCTGTGTAACAATTTGATAAATACCTCCTGCCATTTTTATGCAGATGACACCATTAATGATTGCTGCTCATCTTCTCTTATTTTTACAGGACACATGTTTTTCAGTCTTGTCTGCAAAAGATTAAATGCCAACAAAATTAAGATTATGGTATTTTCCAACAAAGAAAGCACCAAGGGGCCATCCTGAAAATTGTAACCTTATAGTGGTCGTTAAACTCTGTTTACCACGAAGCTCTGAGGTTTATCAGTTTGAAGGTCTTTAGACTCCATTTACCATAGAGCTCTGAGTTTTATCAAACTCTATTTACCACAGAGCTCTGATGTTTTTCACTGTGATAGTCCTTAGACTTTGTTTACCACAAAGCTCTGAGGTTTATCAGTTTGATGGTCCTTAGACCCTGTTTACCATAGAACTTTGAGGTGTATCAGTTTGATGGTCCTTAGACTCTGTTTACCATAGAACTTTGAGGTTTATCAGTTTGATGGTCCTTAGACTCTGTTTACCATAGAGCTCTGAGGTTTATCAGTTTGATGGTCTTTAGACTCTGTTTACCATAGAGCTCTGAGGTTTATCAGTTTGATGGTCTTTAGACTTTGTTTACCACAGAGCTTTGAGGTTTATCAATGTGAAGGTCCTTAAACTGTTTTTCACAAGAGCACTGAGGTTTAGCTGTTTGATGGTCCTTAGACTCTGTTTACCACAAAGCTCTGAGGTGCATCACCGGTTCCAGTTATGTCACTCGTCACTGTGAGCTATTGATTATATCTGGTTGGTCTTTTTTTTTTTACTGCAGGCAGACTAGATAACTAATCTACAAGGCCCTTGTGCACTTAGTTCTATCTTATTTAGGTTCCTTTCTTCAAAGAACTAACAGCCACTATGCCCTATGCTCTAACAATGTTGTTCTCCTGTTGGTTCCATGTGTCAGAACTGAATTAGTGCGTGTATTTTCCTAACCATGGTGTTTTAGTCATTGTTAAGATAATTATTATGCTTCACCTTACCCAGTGAATTCAAAAATCATTTCAGTGGAATAACACTGTTTGTGTCCTATATTGTAAATTCTTTTGATTAGACTTTTTTATGTGTGCTGTTGACCTCTTTGCCAGGTCACCCTTGAAAAAGGGATCTTGATTTCAATGGGTTTTGTTTTGTTTAAATAAAGGTGATATGTTCCAGATATTTCATGTTTGGAGTCAGAATGTTAGCCAACAACATGACAAGTGTTTTTCAAGGTGGTGTTTACTCGTGTAAACAATATTATGATTAGTATTAGAAAGATGCATCCAGAGTTAATGTGTATGTTTTGAATCTAGGTTGGACCTGGACCACTGAGGCGATGGTCTCATTGCAGACAAAATTGCTTGGACAATTTCTGCCGATATGCGATTTGTTTAAGGCAGTCTGAATCCCATAAATACATTTTTTCCACATTAGACTCAGTAAATATTAATAAGTGGTTCTAAATATAAAACGTAACTGATGTTTTCAAAGTGGTCTCAGTCTGAATAACATATATCATTTAAGTGTTGCAAACATCAGAACTGCTTATCTAACTACAGAGTTTATTTGACCACAGGTGTGTTTTATCAACATCCAAAATAAAATCCATCATAATAGCATCCATCACTGTTGTTTGTTAAATCTAACCTAACTGTATTTTATTATCAAATCATGGACTGCAAAGAAAATAAATGAGTACAAGTACAAAAATACATGTACAGTGATAACAAAAGCTTTACACTTTATGAAAATGACTCACAGGTTCATAATAAAACATTTTTATTCACCCTTTGTGTTTCATAAGACAAATATGGTTGACGAAATATAATGGGGCGATATTTCCAAACTTAGCTGGTGTCCAAATGTGTCAACTGGAATCACTATGTTTCCACAGATGGCTGCAAAATGTCCCTACGTGTTTACGGCTGGGGCTCTGCTTTTTGTTTTTTAACAAAGTTGTATGTAATGCCAGGTGAAGCATGCATCTGTGTGGTTAAAAGGTTTCTATTATTCTGGTATTAGATGGAGAGACATGATTAAAGAGCAGACAAAATGTTATGAGAAAATATCTTGACGTGCCAACAGGAGGTTTAGCGAAAGATGAAGAGAATGCTGCTAATCCCCAGAAAGTGTTGACTAAAAACACTCAGATAAGTGCAATGATTTAAGGAAGAGAAGCACACAGAGCTGAATGTGGAAAAAGGAAACATGTTTAGAAAACATCAAATTTAAAAGCAAACTTGGAAAAATGAAGAAATAAAAACACATCGAATGAATTAAATGCAAAAAAAATTATTTTTTTTTGCTTTGGGGGAAAGTGTTTGAAAGAAAATAGATTCTCCAAACTTACTGCTTTTTTGTTTTCCCTTTTTTCTTTTACTGTAGCTTTATTCAGTAGAGAATGGCAAGTAGCCTACAGAACAGAGATGAGCACAATCATGGTCACAGCTAATACACACACACACAAACATTCAGACACTCAACCACACACAAAGACAGACAGACACATACCTGTAACCATTCAGAATGAGCAAACAGATTCAAACTTAGAGAACAAGATACAGAATATAAGTTATCATCCACTGGAAGTGTCTCCAACATGCACCGTCATGCCTGAGTTACTTATTAAACCCATTATTGTCTGGTTACTCTTTCGTGTGTGTGTGTGTGTGTGTGTGTGTGTGTGTGTGTGTGTGTGTGTGTGTGTGTGTGTGTGTGTG